CTTACTGTACACTCAGCTTAGTGACAAGTCTGAGGAGAGACAGTAATCAATATGAATTTGTGTAGTATTTTCTATTTCCATCAAAATATTTTCAAATTAGAATTATGTAAGGAAACAAAAATGTTTTTTTAGTCCTTGTATCAAGGAGGAAATCATAGGTACAATACTGTCAAGAGGTTGTTGCCCCCAAATGAAAAAACAAATAATATGATGTTTGGTGATTAGGGGTCCCAAGTAGGAAGGAATCACTTCCGGGAGATGTGGTTAACATGTTGGCTGCCAGCGACGGATATACTCGTTCCACAGGGTGTTGCTGAGAGTGCCAGGGACGAATATACTAGTCAAGATCAGGGTGACATTCTAGCATCTATTACTTCCTTGTTATACATTGCAGAACCACAGACTCAACAGCTGGTAGTTCGGGGAAGATACACCTACATACAAACATACAAATGACGTTTGGATGTTTGTTGTGTCAAGTTACCAGTCGTACACTCGAGCAGCACAAGTAATGGTGCCCTTTGAATATATACCAACCCATGCAAAAGGCGGATGATATAACTCGCACTTGACATAGTCAATAAAAAGTGCTATTACAGTGCCGTAGATGAGTTTATTCATCCCCTAATATTTTCACGCCAATTTCTTAGACACATCATTTTGATCATATGAATAGGTAACATTTCAAAAAATTATATTTGTACACGTAAACTTGTTTTGGCACGCAGGAAGGAATCATAAAAAGGTCAGGCAGTCAACGTGTTAAATGAGTTTTCTTAACACGTCTAATTTCATTTTTACTTCACATAGTGATACCCATCAGCAATGAATTCCATGAGATAGTTGATAATAAAGCAGTGAAAACTATGCAAAGATTATGAATTTGCGGGAGATACTGTAAGTTACTGTCCGGGAGATTCTTGCTTGCTTGCGGGAGTGTAGGAGGCTGTCCCGATTTCGGAGAGACTCCCGTGAGACTAGGGACCCCCGAGGGAGGATGGCAGATTTTACAAGTAACAAGAAGTTTTAAAAGAGTTATTTTCTGTGTCAATATGTGTGTATGTTTATATTAATTTTTTTTTTTGTACTGAACATGAAATAAAAAGGAAATGCTTTACAGGAAAGTGGATTATGATATCTATATCAATTACCATTCCATTTCTCTTGGCAGTAAGTTGTTTAGTGTCCTCTTAAATGTACAGTAAGTATGAATAATATTAGCCAAAATTAACAAAACGAAATAGAATGAAATTAAATATCCCTGTTAAACCGGAAGTATGGGTATTAACATGAATTATAGGCAAGCCATATTTAAGTAGATATTCAAAGTGAAATGAAATGTTTCATTTGATTGGGAAGGAGATGATAGGGTTATTGCAGTTGCAATTGAGATTATTTGTGACTTTTTTAATCGCCCAAGTTTTTCATTTGCACTTGGCTAAAGACCAGGGTTTTTAAGTTCCGCATAGGCCTATATATTATCACAGGCAAAACTTTGAAATAAAGTGATATATATTCAAGAGGGCAATGTGATGATGCATTTACTGCAGGTTACTCTGAACTTTATGTAGGAACTGAGATGGTGAGAGGGTTCAGGGGCAGAGACCTGGAAGCTCCAACAATTTTGGCTAATTTAGAGTCTCACAAATTATAAGTTTATGTGATTTTTGTTTTTAGAATGAAATAGTCATTTACTTCAATATAAAGCAAAAAGACACGAGAAGTCATCCAGAACCATTCCCAGAAATCATGGTTTATTTATTATTGTATTATTTATTCTTTCTTTTGACTAGATAACACTTTCAGTACACAGTAATTCTTTTCAAATTTGTCCAGTTTTCTTAACAAAATTAACAAAAGTAAAATATTATCCAAAATTCAGAAAGTTTAATGCGGTCCACAGCTAAGGTGGAGATTTTCAAAGTTATTTGCTAACTTAAATTGGCAAAATAAATTTGGAAAATTTGTGCCCTCAGAAGCTAATACTGTTACTGTTTTTAAAAAATGGCTCATTAGTGCTTGGAACACTAGTTAAATGCTTAATACGGTAAAACCTTTATTCTTTTTATTAGTTTTTATTGATTGAAAATAGTTAAAAGAAAAAACCTGTTCCAAAATTTGGAACTTTTCTTTCTCATACCCACACGATCACAAGTAACACGTGTAAGCACACATAGATCCAGGGATTGATTTATGACAGACGGAACTCATCAGTGTGTGCCTTTCCCGAAGAAAATAAGATTAGATCTGCACTTGTGGCCTACTTACTGTATACCGTATCTCTATTTAAGCTACGAGACAAGTCAATTCAGATATTGCTTGGTGGTAAAGATATGAAATAATTTGGATCTGATATCCCACAACATACACATAGGTACATTTATTAATCAAATCCCCAAGCTAACAGAAATCACAAGTTAAGATTACCGTCTAGACACAATTGCCTGTAAGAACACAGCCATCAAAATGAAACTGATTTTCTATGTCTTAGTTGTTAGGTTACAAAAGCCTTGGGAAGAGATATTCGGTTCCATTTTACGCAACAGTCATTTAAGAAAGGCAATTCCACAAATCATTATTCTCTAAAATTATCTTTCATACTACAGTGCAGCCAATTTATAAAGATGGAATGGTTAACTTAACGCTAGTCTCACTACTGTATGTAGTGCACCTTGTTAAATTGGGTGTCTCCAATTAATCCTCGCGAAATGCCACATAAATGTTACGCAAACCGGTTCTACAGTATGTAGTAGACACTATATATCATTCCAACTGGATAAATAAACTTCAACCTTAAAAATATGAATTGTATTTCTTTCAATGCATTCAGATATATCACATTTTACAGTAGGATGAATTTATGAAAGTTGTTTATAATTAATGATGCAAAGATGGAACATGCAACATTTTCCTATCCTCTTAGGGTAATTGTTTAAAACGAAGTACTGTATGTATTATTCATCGATTGCAATGCCTTCTGGAGTATTACATGTCCATTAATTTTAAATGTAAATGACTTTGTGTGTTTTTTTTTATACCATTATTCATATTTTGTTATTTTAATAACATTGTGATCTTTAAATGTGCAAATCAACCAATACATATGATGAATTTTATTGAACATTTTTTAGCTCAATATAAACCTACCCTTACTATAGTGCAAGGAAATTCTAGAGTACTGTATCTGATTCTGGAAAGGTAATAATTATTTTTAATAATGCAATACGGAGATGAAATCTGTTATCTGGTAAGGCCATCCCATTCTTAATTTAATATTTTATCTAAACAGATAAATCCTAATTAAAAATTGCAATATTAAGAAAAATCTACAAAACTTGCACTCAAAAGTAAGACACTCCTGCTTAGGAGCCATCTTTTTTTGTGGCATTTAACAATACAAAACTCAATTAAAATAATAAATTTTTTCACTCTTTATATTTTAGCTCAAAAGGTGGAAGAAACCCACATGCGTATTTGTACAAAGTCAAATATTTTGTGGGTTGTTCAAGTTTTTAAACCAATGGTAGCTTCATCTGTGTATAATATAATGCCACTTTTGTTATTATTAAAGGAAAAGTTAGATTTTGAGTTATGGTTCCTGCAATATGAAACTACATTACCATCTGAAAGTGAAAGTATGAGAAGTATTGGTGGACGCCGTCTAAACTGTCTGTAACATGTTAATATAGACAAAGCAACATATGCACTTGTGTCTTCATTTTCCGGGTCTGAAGTGCATTCATTCAATCAAGCGCTCCTGATCTCTGGAATAAACTTCCCCTGGATGTTTGAACTGCTCCATCAGTCAGTTCCTTCAAGTCCTGTCTAAAGACATTCCTCTGTGACCAAAATTTTGATTAGTTTTTCTTTTGTCTTTTTCTTTTGACTTATTTCTGGCAATTACAGTAGCTTTGAAAATTCTTCCCTTTTCACTTTTCTCTATAATTTTATTTAAAGTGCATAGAGGCTCTATACAAGCACAATTAATAATAATAATTATAATAATCAATATAACTAATATTATATAAATTGGTTTATTAATCGATAAAGCGTTTCTACTAACTAATGTACTGCAATACAGTATAACAGATTGAGCACTTGGTGATACACCATCGACCGAACCACACACTCATCCAGATTATAAGTGATGCCGAGCACCACCATAAAATAAAATAAAATATTATGTGTGATGATTACCTACAATCCTGCACACATTATTCAGATGCATATCGCCAAAGAGCCGTTTGTATATACATGTAATGGAGACGTGTAAAGTGTTTTCTTAAAGTAGAAATTAAAAATGTTTTTTCGATGCTGACTGATTTTACATTCTAGCACCATGTGTACTAATAAAAACAAATACATTAACACAATGAAGGTATTACTTGTTTCACTTCTTGGTTTCCATACTCTAATTATAACCAATTAACTTTATGAAAACATTTGTGTTGAGAATGAAAGTTTAATTATCTTTCATTTAACATTGTAATCTAATCTACAAGATTCCATTATTTTTTAGTGTTGTATGACTGTTACGTTTGTTTGTTTCTGTCTTGTCTTGTTTGATCTTAATTCAATTTCCTTGTTCATTTACCGTACATTATACTTAATAGTAATACACTTGGTGTTATGTTTTAATTATTTATTTCAACATTTACTTGTTAATACTTACTGACATAAAATTCATAGACAATGAGCAGCAGTTGTACTTGAGTAAAGAGGTATATTGTCAATATCCCACACTTGGTACAGTATTATGTTTAGTTATTTACTTTAATCTTAGAATTTAGGTAGTTATTTGCTTAAATTTCTTTTTTTTTTCCTCAAGCACTATTATCAACAGGGTTTCTTTTTTTTCTCTCTCTTTTTTTGTTTATTATAATTTTTAAATTTCTTATTAAGATACTTTTTGTGATATTATCACTATTGACACAAATAACTTGAAAGCACAATTAATTTTGTTAAAGCACAAAAATTTGTTTTTGATTTTTTTCTTGCAGTGTGATACTGTGGAGAGGGTGGTCCGGCAGCAGCATTCACACATTGGATTTGGATCGTTGCTAGTCTTAGTCAAACCAGACACTCGGTGTGGCAAAATCTTCCGTTTTGATGTGTCACGGACCAGACGTCAGGTGCATGATTCAGCGTGGCGGTTACTGCACCCTGGGGACGGACAAGATGTTCCGCAGGTCTGTCTCTTGATTTTCAATCTTGAAGAAATTGAACGAGTTCCTAGTAGATAACCACGACCAGATGTATCTCCTCTGTGGAGAGTATCTGTTATTTTAAGATTTCTGTAACTACTTTAATCATTATGAAATCTGGCTTCAACACTCCCTACTTCTTTTGTTTTATATTACTGAACTTCGATTCATTTCTGGGCTAGCTCTGATTTTTTCCTGGTTTTATTGAAATTCAAATGAGTTGGAATATCAATCAACCTCTATAATTGTAATAATTTTATTTGATTTTATCGTGTTAATCCAGGTCAGTTGTAAGAAGTTCAATTAAGAAATCTTATATTTTTGCAAATACTTGCGCTAACACTGCGTTAATCATGCAGTGTGAACATGTTGTTAGATACGCCATGGATTGAAGTGCCTCTAATGTTAGTTACGCCATGTCTCTGAAGTAGAGAAGCGGTTTGGGTGAAAGCAGAAATAGCTTGGGTTCCCAACCTCAAGGTCGGGATTTCAAATTCTTGGCTGAGCATTTCGTTTGTGTTTTTGGGCAAGACACTTTATCTAAATTGCTTTAGTCTACCCAGCTGCAAATTGCTGGAAGTAACGTGCAGTAATCCAGCGTCCAACCCAGGGGGAGCATCACGATCTCATCCACTTCACACTACTTGAAACTAGGGTTAAGCTCCAGTCCATATGAGCCCTGTGGCTCGGCAAGGATTTGCTTTTATCTCTCAAGTCCGAATATAGCCGTATCAGCAATCAGACAAATTATTTTATTTTGTTTACTTCTAATAGATTGCAGAACCAGCAGAATCGATTGAGGTGGACTCGCACTTCACGAGTGGAACTATGAGGAGTACTCACTCTCAGGAGATCATGTTGAGCCGGCAACCATCACGCAGAAATGGTGTTCATATACAGACGCTGAAAAGCCATCATGAGGTCAAAGGTGACTCGAGTGATGACTCTACCCCAGAGAATACACTCAAATCTAAGGTGTGTTAGAGAAAGTTCAACTATTTTTATTTGTATTATTTTTGTTATTAAATGGGGTTATTTGTTATTGTTATTTTTTTTTTTTTTTTATTCTCTGAAGAATTTCATCATCTTCATTGATATTTTTATGAAGAAAGGTTGACTAATTTTCAGCTTACCTCTAATCACCGAACCATTAAAAATGACCTTTTTGACCTCAAGGCATATGATGATCAAGCCTACCAAAAAGCATAGAGGAAAACTGTCAGTCTTAAACATTCCTTCATCAACAAAAAGAACATGTAATTTAAAAGTTTGAATTACAACATTGCTTATGAAATGAAACCACCCTAAAAGCTTTGTGCTATTATTTTATTAACAAGATTCACAAGACTAAGGAGGTATCCCTCCTTGACAAGACATGCCAATAATTTTCAGAATTCCCTTTAATGCAGTACTTGTAATTTATAGGATGCCAATGCGTTTTACTTTTACTAAAGTTGTAATTCTATATAGTTAATGCTCTTGTGCTTCTTTTTATATGTATTACTGTACTCAGTTTCACCATGGTTTCACTGACCCTGGTAAATCTAGTGCCAGGAGAAAATTTTACAAAGATTTATGATTACTGACAGTTTTTCACAGTCCAGCTACACTAGCTTAGATTGGACTGTGTTCTTATGGGAAATGAATAAAAAAAGCACTTAACGTTCACTGTAATTTTAACAACTCAATCCTATCACATTATGGTATACCGTAGGTTTTGTTTTGTATTACATTTTAGTGTGTCCTCAATTTTGATTTTTTTTTTTTCTTTCTTTTATTATATTTAATCTTTGGGGAAATACATATCTTCAAATAAAGCCCAGTGTGTATTTTTATTTGCAATTTGATAATATCATAAAATAGACAAGGATTTGTAAAAAATATTCTGTACCATTCTTACCAAGTAAGTAGTCCAAGTGTGAGTTTCTACTCAAAACAAAACAAATTTCAAACACAAATAGCCACAAGTTTTTAGTTGCACTCCAAAAACATGGTTTCTGGTCTATGGAGTCTGTCATTTTTCTATTATTTTTAATGGTTTTCCTGATTACAATTTTTTTTTCTGGCCCCATTTAAACTGACAAAAGACAATAACATAACAAATTATTCATATACTCTTTGCCAGTAATACCATCACTTTTGTATCTTATTACAGTACAATATTTATCGGTTATATAAATAGTCATAATGTTTTATTAGAGTATTTCTATAGTTTGACCTTCTCTAGTCAACTCTATTTATATTTACACATAACTATGCCTAGTATTATCTATGTAACATCATGTTTATAGTCTCTGCTTCCTTTTAATTAATCTAATTAGTTATCTTTCGCATTTCTTAATTGGAAATGGACAAACGATGCAAGCTTAAGTAATCACAAATGAAGCATAAAAATTTTAACATAAAGCATTTTTAGATTCTGTTGATTTGCGGGTAATGTATACAAGGCCGTATCGCATTCTATGACCATGTGATGTAAATTTTGAAATATTGGCGATCTGGTGAGAATAACACAGATTGCCCATACATCATTCTGTATTGAAGTATTGAAAAAGTAAAATAACGGATAGATTTTGTGGAAATGGTTGGTTTATAACATGAGAAAAACCATTATGTATATTTACCTGTTGGATAGAAATATAAATCATTCATAATGTTACAATTATACTACAGTAATCACAGTAAAAAATCATACAAAACTTTAGGTTTACTTCCTAATATTAATTAATTTAGATATGTTAATAATATTTACAGATTTAAAGTTGAGGGTGACAGTGGATAAGTTGAGCAGTGGATAATCATTAGTAAAGAGTAACAATACAGTAGATACGTTAAGTGGGACAGTGGATTAGATTGGGAATACCAATAATGTGCTAACCGAAGCAGTGGATGAGCTGTGCGATGCAGTGAATGAGTATGAGCAAAGTGGACACCCATGAGCAAGGTATTGGTTGAGCAAGAGCAAAGGCAGTAGATAAGCATGAGCATGGCAGTGGTTGAGTATGAGCAAGGCAGTGAGTAGTGGATAAGCATGAGCAAGGTATTGGTTGAGCATGAGCAATTCAGTGGTTGAGCAAGAGCAAGGCAGTAGATAAGCATGAGCAAGGTAGTAGATAAGCATGAGCAAGGCAGAAGGCAGTTGATGTTCTGAACAAGGTACTGGGCAAGATGAACAAAGCATTAAGGTGTGCTGAGCAAGACAATTCACCACCTTAACATATCAGTAGATGTACAGGGTAGTTCAACTAAGCAAGTTGGTGGATGAGGTGAGCAAGGCAAGTGGCAGGTGATGAATGCTCTGAATGAGGCAGTGAATAAGCTGAACAAGGCTTTGTATGGGCCGAGCTAGACAATTTGTCAGATGAGCGAATCAGTAGACATGCAGAGTGAGCCAGTAGATCAACTGAGCAAGTTGGTAGATGAGCCGGAGCAAGGCAAGTGGCAGTTGATGAATGCTGTGAATGAGGCAGTGGATATAAGCAGTTGATGTGCTAAGCAAGACAGTTTATCAATTGAGCGAATCAGTAGATGTACAGGGTGAGGCAATAGATCAAAGTAACAAGTCAGTAGATGAGGTGGACATAGCAGCTGCAGATTCAATGTCTTTGAGGTTAATATTCAAGACACCGTTCAACATTCATGTTGAATTATGCTCGTAACATTTTTGGATCATGGATCAAAACCAAATCGTTTACGTACGACATAACTTCCCAAGGGTCATATCCTTCACACATGTCAAAGGTGTGGGATCTCGGAGAGTAACCATGTGCAGATGTAAAACTACTCGGTTTTATAATTGATCATGTGATAACTGTCAGTATTAATAGCCTTTAAATCATTAATTTATATGTATGTGTGTAGGATGACAGTACCAGAAAAAAAAATTTATATTTTGCTGTTACTTCAGTGTTTTTTATAACACCTGTAATAACTCCTCTAAAAGTTATGTCTAGTGTTTGTCTAGGATTAACATAAAAACGCATGATCTAATCTGGTATAAGCCAACACTTGTCGTGTTACATCAACAATTTTATATCATTAATACCAGCGAAATTATCAAAACATTAAGTATTCCTACCGTAATTTTTGTTATTTTAATTTAATACATACTGCCACACAAAAAAAAAACATCTAAAATTGAAATAACATTTTGAAATGCACTTTTCAAAGAATCGCATAAGCTACTATAAATCACAGATTTTTTTCATCAGTTTTAAGGATTTCTTGATGTTTTAATTGGGAGTTAGATTTGCTGCCAGAAATGTTAATGATAAAGATAATGAATGGTATTATTTAAATAAGTATATATTAATTGGTTATTAGATTTTAAGTTGAAAAGCTAATAACTTGAAATTAAAATATACAAATTTGACTAATTTTTTTATTTTTAAGTTTATTAAGTTTATGTGGTATATCTATGAAAATATAGGAAGTAGCAATTTCACACAAACTTTGTATAATAATTTGCTAAATATGCAGAAAAACATATTAACTAACATATTTTCCTGTTCTTCTGCTTGAAGGCATGCAAACGAGACAGCTCACATGGAAAACAGGATGGGCCATCAACCGATGCAAATATCATCGCCACGCTACAAGAAAAAATCAACCAGATACACGAGGCCAGACTTTGCCAAGTCTGCCTAGACCAAAATTTCAACACCGTTTTTTGTCCCTGTGGTCACATGACCTGCTGCGACACGTGTGCTCAAGAGTGTCAGAAGTGCCCGATGTGCCGAGCCGAAGTTGCCTACGTCCAACGGGTCTTTGTAACATCTTAGTAGCGAATGTTGCTTCATAAATTTTTAAATGATCTACAGATTTAGACCTGCCTTCTGAGCGTTTTGTCTATTAGATGATATAATTTTTGAATAATATGCATAAAACATATCATATATGTATATTTATGCTCATGATAAATTTTAATCATGATTATCTTTGTATGCATTGTATATGGATAAATGACATGCAGTATATTGAATAGCATATACAGTATATGTAATATAATAGCATATATGGACACCTGCATTTGTGTATGTATAAACAAACTTATTAGGCCTATGTAAATTATCTATATTGTATATAAAAAAAAATTCGTTTTTTTTATGTGTGACATTTGTCATCTGTTTATTGCTATCTAATTTCCGTTCTCAAATATAATTTAATCCCAAAACAATACAGATATTAATATTTTTGTGTATTTTTGTCATTTTTTTTTTAGAATAATGCAGTTCAAAGACAGTAAGTTTAAAGGTCAATTTAAAGTTAAAGCGGTTGTGATGTCATAACTGCCGTTACTTCATAGAATTATTATTAGCACACTAAAGTAAGTTTCCAAAGCAACCATCTTAAAGCTTATGTAATACAGGATCACTGAACTTGGCCCTTCTGATGTTATCTGATTGTAAGACCACATCGTACTTAAAATGCTTAAGCCATCACCTTGTTGAAATTCGTTAATATTATTTAATTATTATTATTATTGTGGGTAATAATGAGAAAATATAAGAGATGCACTCCTAATCTTAGAGAAAAAGGGAAAAAAAATTTGTACCTTAATAAATAAAATGAAAATTTATGGTGATTGCACAATATATTTTGAGCAATTTATACAAGCATTGTTTAATTATGTATCACTCGGTATCAGACTAAATAGTGTATATAGTTTTTTGTGTATACTGCCCCCTTGGGGGCTGTAGACACTTTGTCATCTCACTTGTAAGTTGGGAAATTAAATCAGGTTTGAGAGTTCAAAGTTCAAAGAGAAGAATAATGTGATACCATTACATCATAAGTTTAAAGAGATAAATTTACAGGCTCCCAAACACAAATCAAGTCTCCACGTAGAAAGTACTGAAAAAAATAAAAAACTCAAGCAGCAGATACATGCTCCAACTGGGAGTTTATTTATTAATTTTTTTTTATCTTTTGTTAAATTTGTTGTTTTATTCATCAGCAAACCTATTTAATCACTATATTATTACCATGTTAGGTTAATACTGTAATTGATTTGAGTGTCTAAGATAAACACTGAAATACCATTTGCGCCCTGATTATGAACTAATATGCCTACACCAAATACACCATAAACAATGGCTCTGCTACTTCTAAAAAAAAAAAAAAGCTCTTATTGATAAATGTTGGTGAGTATAACACGTAAAGAAAGAAAGCATTTTTTATTCATTTTTAAAATGATTACATTTTCTGTTCTCTTTGAAAGGAACTCAAAAAACAAATAAAGGTTAATAATAATTGTTTTAATTCCAAGGAACGATTTGCGTTTTCATGACAGCTTGAATTAAACATGATGTAGGTTACTTGCGAAGATAAGTCTGTATATAAAGAAGGATTTGACGTCAAGTCGTGAGTTGAGAAGTTCAGTGCGTCATCAGTGTAGGTGGTATTGATTGACGCGGACGGTTCACCTGTGTCATGTGATCCACCCACCTGTATCATGTGATCAAAGAAAAATGAGATAATTTACATAATTATTTCCTGTATTGTATTAAAACAGAATGCACAGTCTTAAACATCAGAAATGAAAATAAAGTGTATTAAATCTGTAAGAAATTTTCAATAAGTTATAGACAGAATATATGAATGTATAATCAAGAAACAAGTTAATATAGTATTAAAAATGTTATGGCTTATTAAAACTTCATTATTCAGTATACAGCTACAGTATTAATAAAGACCAGCATTAAGAAATGGAGGACACTACACAAACTACATGTGATATGGGAAAAAATATTTGCTGCATCTTCTTGAATCTGAGTGCCTCACCTTAACAACTATATATAATGTAATAAATTAAAGTATAGTACAAAAATATTATTTGATAAATAATAAAAATTCAGGAAATTCTATCTTTATATTTTTGTTAATAGACGTTTTTCACCTATCTGGAATAATCTAATAATTTTCCAAAAATTATATATAATTTATGATGCATCCTGGGACAAAATGATTATAAGTTCTATGAGAAAATGTTTTATTCTTATTTGTTCTGTTATCTCTTAAAAACACTTGCAAATATGTACAAAAACAAGTATGGTACAATATAATTGAATGCATGATGTGTCGGCCTTATATAGAATATAATGCTGAAGCTTGTACATGCTTCACAAAGGCCATTAAAATGCCCAGCATTCTTGCATTTAAAATTTACTATAAGTGAGTCAACTCATGATGAATTAATTTATACAGATTAATTATTTCATGCATAATTGTTATGTAGTTTAAATTCTCATCGAACTAAATGTCACATAGACGGTTTGAATTTCTACGGTTCCTTAAGGACAATCTCCTGAGAAAGTTAAGCAAACATATTTCTATGACCAAATGAAGCAATATTGATGGCCAAATTAATAAATGATAATATTGATTCAATTGATTTAAAAATTGATATTGATTCATTTAATATCAATTAAAATTGATATTACTGTACAAATTGATACTGATTTAAAATTATTAATAAAAATTATCTTGATTAAAATTATATTTTTTTTAAATTATATTGATTCAAAATTATCAATATATTAAATTGTTGATATTGAATTTAATAATTGATACTGATTTGATAATTTTTTTAGCTTATATTGTTTAAATATTAATATTTATTCAATAATGATTAACCAAATTTTTTACCAAAACATCTTCCCTTCTTTAGTATTCAGTATGGTTTGAATGCCCAAATAGTAATGTTTACTGACCAGATATATATTATTAAAATATGGCAAGTTAAGATTTAATGAAAGGTGATTTGAAGTATGGAAAAAATATTTTCTCAATTGTTGTTGCTATCGTTTGCCACACTTTGGTTACTGGAACTTCCTCACTCAGTATTTTCTTCTGTGTTAATCAACTGTTTCATAAAATAAGTGATTTTTAAGTGGTTTATCACATACATTTAATATCAACACCTTGCTGAAAAGTTAGGTTCTTGTGTAGGATTGTTTTCTGTTCAACTTTGTATAAAGTTTGTAAATAATTGAGTTTCTGTATTAAAAAGTATGCATATGTTTAAATAAATTTATTAAAATAGTTGTCAAGATATTTGTTTAGTGACTGATATTGGTTGTTTAATAATAATAATATGTCGTTCTTATATAGCGCTTCATGCCTTTACAAGGCCTCTAAGCGCTTCACATTACTACCACGGTCATTGGATCAAACACATATGGAAAAAATTGAAACACCAAATTAAATTAGTAAATGAAATTATATTATCATTCCATAAATTGCAGCTAGTAATCAGCGCAGGTTGTGTTGGAACCTACCAGGTACCCACTTGTACTCCTGGGTGGAAAGAGGCAACCGTAGATAAAGTGCCCTGCCCAAGGACACAGGCGATTTGCACAGCCAGAGTTTCGAACCCCCGACCTCAAGGTTGGGAGTCCAAACCAAAACCGATGCGCCAACCGCTCCTTAGATTCCTGACATTCAGAAGTCTAAAACCCCTTCCAGACTATCAAATTTTATTTGAAAAAAATATGTGACATGCCTTAATACAACAGCAGTGGAAGAAGGGGGCAGGGGAAAATTGGCCCCTGTGCTTTTTCCACTGGGGCCTGCTGTTTGTGACTGCTCCCAGCAACAGTGACAAACAATATACGATGTCATTATCATTATACTCTGTTGGTGCTTAGAGACCTTGTTTATTTTTCCTTTAAAATCGACCTACTATTATTATTATCATTATTATAATAAAATACAGATTTTTTTTTTTTTGATTTTTTTTATTTTTTTTTCCATTTTGACACCAACATCACAAGTTCTCTTTTTGAGTTGAGCAACCAGTATATGCCATATTGATGGATGTCTGTAAAATTTCCTTGAAACCTATCCTCAAGCATGAAGAAAACAATGGAATGGCTTGCCAGTCTTCACGTAAATTCTATGTTCAGGCACGAGACGGAGATAGGCACTATTTATGGCGTGACGCCCTATAGTTCTGCTTATGTTAACGATGAAGATATAAGTGTAACTGATTGGCTTGCAGTAAACCATCAAACTATAAATGTAATATAACCACATTTAAATTACATCTAACTTAACGAAAACAATAAGATACTTAATTAGGCCATCTATTATAATAGATTTCTCTGAAGGTCAACTACAGAATTTATAGTACATGGTAATTAACGTATTATAAGTTTGTTTTTTTTTTAACTGTAGTGAAAACCTTTTCGCTTGACATTACAAATTAGTCATTTGTGAAACAAAATGATAGGATGTCAAATGTTATATTAAACAGCAGCAGGGCCTGGCCAGACGCACTCTAGTGATAAAGTTTTCCTCCATTAGTGGAAAAAAGAAAGGCGCCGCGTGCGTCTGGATATACTTAGATGTATAGATGCTGTATATAGAGTCTGCTATGTTAAGTGTTTGCTTAGCATCATGAAAATCTTTATTATCATTGGGCACTTTGTTACTTCTAAATTGTCAAATATCTGGGGTGGATGCAGGATTTGGCGGTAGGGGGTGCGTGAGGGTCAACCTCACTGCCCCACCATTGTTGGGGCTGAGGGAATAGAACGTTTTGAGAATAGGGAACTCTCAGGCACGGATCCAGGGTTTTAGGTCAGTTTCCATAGAATCGCTCACGCATGCCGCCGGAAGCATTTTGCAAGTGGTCCGGCCATTATAAGAGCGAGATGGGGAGAGTCCATACCCACCGCAACCCCACCATGGTTGGGGTAGTAGATGGCAGAAAATGACACTCAGGCCCATAGCCAGGTTTTTCCAAGGGGGGGGGGGGGGGTTTCTGGGCGTGAGGGCCAAAGTCAATGCCCCGGTGTGGTCGGCGAAACCCCCAAAGCAAGAGGATTTTTGTGCTTTGTGGGTCTAAATAATGCTATAAAAGCAGATATGTTTGAAAATGCCTGTGTCTGGGTGGGTCTGCAGTGCATTAGTTAGGTTGGAGGACTTATTTGGGAAATTTAAAGAGGGGGTTCGTCAGAAAAGAGGGGGGTTTGCTTAAAGGGGGTTCTCCCGAACCATAACCCCCCCACCCCTGGATACGGGCCTGACACTCTTTATTAAAATTCATCACATCACCTTTATAGTCAAAATGAAGCGCCAGCAAATTTCTCATGAATTTTATCTTCGATTTTCGGCAACCATAGAATCATTAGTATATGTGTGATGAGGCCATAGAAAATAAGACTTAAAAACATCTTCTTTGATGTATTTACATTACTTCATCACTTCAAAGATAAGATGTGAGTCCACAACCATCTCAACCCCTCCATGGTTGGGGCTGAGGTGCGAAAATTGTGGGAAATAGTACCACCGTACCTCTCATGGCCGGAAATGTCACTTTTATATAGTAACATTCGTCATCATCACATCACAATTATAGTAAAAATGAAGGGCCAACAAATTTCTCATCGATTTTCCGCAACCATAGAGATTATCTAATATGTGTGATGTACCATAGAAAATAATGCTTAAAAACATTGTCTTTTTTATGTCTTTACTTTACTTACTTCAAATCTGTGCGTCTACACCCACCTCAGCCCCATCATGGTTGACGAATAACACCTCAAAATGGCCGGAATGACTGTTATATAGCAACATTCATCATGATCGCATCACCATGGTCTTTTATCTGCAATTTTCGGCAATAATAGAGATCTAATTAACTTCTGTATTGTATACCATAGCAAATAAATCTTAATGTCTTTGATGTATTTACTTTAATTTACCCATTCGTGTGTTGAAAACCAATCTTATTTTTTCTCATACACGCGCAATCGAGTCGTGTATTACAGATAATTCAGATGTTAGTGGGCAGGGATACCGGAATCTTGCTATAAGAAGATGTACATTACGGTACTTTGGCTGTACAGCGCTCTTTCGTTAAAACCTGGGTCATTAATTATGCAGTTCAATTCAACAACTTTCAGGAATCTTCTTTACTTATGAAATTACGTTGCGGTCGAAAAGTGAGTGTTACCAAAACCCCCTTAAAAATATGTGGGGGACGTGTCCCTCGTTTCCCCATGATCTGCGCCCATGCTGGTAACCATGTAGAACCACTACCCGGTCCTCTCAAGTGGGGGACACAAAACCATGGTTGAAAAAATTGCTCCTTTGCCGGGAAATAGCACATACATAGGCCTACTTTTTAAAAATAAATGTCCCTCACTTTAAAAATGTTATATTTTTTTCTGGCTTGACCATTAATACCATTGTGTCACATAACAGCCTATATAATTATTCCATCGGAGTCGGTTTTTTTTAAAAGTCGATTCTTATCATCATCATCGCCATGGCATAATCATCAACCGTCATCATTATTATCATAACCACCAATACCATCATTATTATCATCCTCTCCATCAATATCATCATAAACCCCACCACCATCATCATCATCATCATCATCATTATTATTATTATTATTTTATTACAGTATTATTATCATCATCATCATCATCATCATCATTATTTTTATTATTATATTATTAGGCCTATTATTATTATTATTATTATTATTATTATTATTATTATTATTATTATTATTATCATCATCATCATCATCATCA